ACCTCAATAGTCATCTTTTATGGTGTACATGCCTTGTTAATAACATTTTTGAATGAAACATTCAAAAATCAAAATAAATATAACTTAAATATATACATGACCTCTTAAATTAAAGTGAACATTAACACCAATATTATAATTTATAAAATGCTATAACAAAAAAAATAACATAAGCAGCATATTTTTTAATTAAATATACATACCAACTACAAAATAAGCGGGTATTAAAGTGTAAACGGACAACAAAACGGAAATGGAAATGAAAAGTATTTTTCTCATCATGCATCTTCTGTGTAGTGATCCAATATCGTTACCATAGCCTTGCCCTTTAACAGTTATTACGAGCCCTGCCTCAGCCTTACTCACCAAGAGCCCAGCGCCTAGCCTTCTTCGGCCCGTCCACACAGCGGCGTGCGTTGAAGCTTCCAACACTTCTGCCCATTCACTTTGAATGGGGTGACGTCACTTTTAGCCGAACTGCATTTTGGGAAGCGACGTGGAGCGTTGCTAGCGTTGCTGGCTTCAAAAGTTGAGCAATGTTCAACTTTTGACGCCTCGACGGAGGCGTCAGCCAATCGAATCATATGCCAGTACAAGCTCTAGCTAGCCAATCAAACCGCGTGCTTGTGTGTCTGGAGCGGGAGATTCATGTGATTGGTTGTTGGTCGAGTGTCAGACACGCCCGCCGGCAAGCGTCAACGCACGCCGCTGTGTGGACGGGCCGTGGCAAAGTCACTGATCAAGTCCTTGAAGTCCAGCTTTCTAGTCAACTGGCTTTCTATGGGATTAGTTTTGTATCATAAAGATAAAGCAACACTTTTTCAGAATAAAGCAAAACTATGAGTTTAAAAGAAGAAAAAAACTGAGTCAAGCAAAATAAAAAAAAATTCAAATATAAAACTATAAGTTGCAACCAAATCATTTGTGTAATCATGTAAACTATAAGTATTTTTTTCTTTGTTTTAACATAGGTTTTTGTTTGCAGTTCTTTTTTCTTCTTTCTCAATGATCAGACTTTTGCTCTCGCTGCAGCACTCTCTTTTGCGCTCCTTCATTTTTTGTTTGAGATTTTGACACAAACCTCCCAGGTGGGCGGGACTTTCAGGGGTGCGTCCCCATTGGCTACTCAGTTTTTGAATGGATGCGGAAGCTTTACAGTTCTTCTTATAATACACATCCATGAGCTTTTCGCGATCGGGAAGGAGCTCGCTGGAACCGTCTTTCTTTGCAGCGTTTTGAAAGTGAACACATATGTAAGTATTGCTCCTTTATGTGTGGTTTGTTTTGTACTATACATTCTGTTCCATGGTTGTGTTAAGTTAGAACTCAAGCAAAGCTTAGCCATGCAAGTTGCTTTCGCTAAGTTGCCTAACTGTTAGAATACTGTGTGTGTATGATATAACTATTTTCATGGTTCAGATATGCAAGAATATGCCATAATTGCTGTTGTTTAATAGTGTGCTCACTTTATATGATAATCAGTAGCTAGGATTACATTACATTGCATTTAGCTGACGCTTTTATCCAAAGCGACTTACAATAAGTACATTCGACCAGGAAGACACAACCTTGAAGAAAACAGAATCATATAAGTACATCAGGTTTCATAGAGCCAAACATTTCAAGTGCTACTCAACTGGCTATAGATAAGCCAGTCCTTTATTAGTATATAAGTGCTCTGTTAGCAGTTCTTTGTTAGTAATTCTATCGCTCGAGGTGGAGTTGAAAGAGATGAGTTTTCAGTCTGCGCCGGAAGATGTGCAGGATTTCTGCTGTCCTGATGTCAATGGGGAGCTCATTCCACCATTTTGGAGCCAGGATAGCAAACCCACGTGTTTTTGCTGATGGGAACTTGGGTCCCCCTCGCAGCGAGGGTGCAGCGAGTTGTTTGGCTGATGCAGAGCGTAGTGCACGCGCTGGGGTATACAGTTTAACCATGTCCTGGATGTAGGAAGGGCCAGATCCATTCGCAGCATGGTATGCAAGTACCAGTGTCTTGAAGTGGATTCTAGCAGATACCGGAAGCCAGTGAAGGGAGCGGAGGAGCGGAGTGGTGTGGGAAAATGTAGGAAGGTTGAAGACCAGACGAGCCGCTGCATTCTGGATGAGCTGCAGAGGTCGGATGGCACATGCAGGTAGACCAGCCAGGAGGGAGTTGCAGTAGTCTAGGCGTGAGGTGACGAGAGCCTGGACCAGAACCTGCGTGGCTTTCTGGGTCAGCTGGGGATGTATCTTCCTGATGTTGTAAAGCGTGTATCTGCAGCAACGGGTTGTAGCAGCGATGTTTGCAGTGAAGGACAGTTTGTTATCTAGGATCACACCCAGATTCTTTGCAGTCTGAGTCGGGGAAACAACAGAGATGCCGATGTTGATGGTCAGGTCAAGAGTGGGACAATCTTTTCCCGGAAGAAAAAGCAGTTCAGTCTTGTCAAGGTTGAGCTTGAGGTGATGAGCAGACATCCACTGAGAGATGTCAGCTAGACAAGCAGAGATGCGTGTGACGACCTGGGTCTCTGAGCGGGGAAAGGACAGAATTAATTGGGTGTCGTCAGCGTAGCAGTGGTATGAAAAACCATGCGGGCTAATGACTGATCCGAGCGAGTTTGTGTACAGGGAGAAGAGGAGGGGACTAAGAACAGAGCCCTGACGGACCCCTGTAGTTAATTGACAAGGGTCGGACTCGGACCCTCTCCAAATTACCCTGTAGGTACGGTCTTTGAGGTATGAGGTGAGGAGGGAAAGTGCAGAGCCTGAAACTCCAAGTTCCTGGAGAGTGTGAAGGAGGATCTGATGGTTCACCGTGTCGAATGCAGCAGACAGGTCCAACAGGATGATGACAGAGGAGAGGGATGCTGCTTTGGCAGTGTGCAGTTCCTCAGTGACAGCAATGAGAGCAGTTTCTGTGGAGTGACCTGCCTTGAAACCAGACTGGTGCGGATCCAGAAGGTTGTTCTGATGGAGATAACAGGAGAGTTGTTTAAAGACAGCGCGTTCAAGTGTTTTAGACAGGAACGGGAGTAGAGAGACAGGCCTGTAGTTTATAACATCAGACGGGTTGAGAGTGGGTTTCTTTAGGAGAGGGTTTACTCTTGCCTCCTTGAGACTGTTTGGAAAGTGACCAGAAGTTAGAGAAGTGTTGATGAAATGGGAGAGAAACGGTAGAATATCAGGAGCGATAGTCTGAAGGAGGTTTGAAGGGATAGGGTCCAGAGGACAGGTGGTAGGGCGGGCAGAGGTAATGAGGGTAAGAACCTCACTTGGAGAGAGAGGGGAAAAGGAGGTTAGTGTGTGGGTGGAAGGAGGGTCTGGTAACCCAGCGGTGAGTAAAGGTGAGTCAGAAAAAGAAGAGCGAATATCATCATCCTTTTTTTCAAAGTGGTTAACAAAGTCGCTTGACAGAAGTGAGGAGGGGGGAGGGGCTTTGGGAGGGTCCAAGAGGGTGGAGAAGATGGAAAATAGTTTTTTGGGATTGGAATAGGAAGATTGGATCTTATCTTGAAAGAAAGTGCTTTTTGACTGAGAGATCGAAGCAGAGAAAGAGAGGAGAGCCTGATAGGTTAGGAGGTCGTCATGGTGTTTGGATTTCCACCGTTTCCGCTCTGCTGCCCTAAGGATGGTTCTATTAGCACGCAGTGCGTCATTTAGCCAGGGAGCAGGAGGGGACTGACGAGCCTGCCGAGATGTGAGAGGACAGAGAGAGTCCAGAGAGGATGAGAGAGTAGAGAGGAGAGTTTCTGCAGCAGAGTTTGGAGGCAGGAGTTGGAACGAGTCAGAGGAAGGGAGGGCTGAGAGCACCGATGAGGCAAAGATAGAGGGGGAGAGGGAACGAAGGGTACGGCGGACAGGTGCAGGATGAGAAGAGATTAGTTTGTTATGTTTAGGATGAGTGAGGCTATACCTTAACCCAGTGGTTCCCAAACGGTGTGCCGCGAGGCAAGTCCGGGTGTGCCGTGGGATTTTGTGACAATACGTTATTATTGCAATATACAACTACACAAAAATTATAATTTTTTAATTTACTATATCAGTACTTTGTAGCTTTATATGTACGTAATCTGCGCGACTTGCGCGTCCACATCTCCACGTGCAGTGCTGCATAAACATGACTGAGTCAGCGATAACTTTCGAGGGGTGGAGGTATGCCCATTATTTTGAGTTCGTAGACAGAATAGACAGGAATGTGACGGTGAGGTGCAAATTGTGTCCAGGCCAGAAGCTATTATCCACTGCTGTAAACACCATGTCAAACCTCAACAAACACCTGCAAAGAACACATGCTAAGGTGAAGCTAACGCACACGCTATTTGTTGTTTGTTTATATCACGTAGTCTGTTCTTCTTCTCTGTCTTCCGGTTGTTGCCTGTTTTGAATGACAAATACACACTACCGCCGCCTGCTGGTAAGGAAAGGTATTGCCACTCACGCATGCGCGTGTAAAGTAACGAGTTACTTTCTGTAGATAGTAACGAAGTAGTGTAATATATTACATTTTTTTAGTAACGACCCCATCTCTGGAGTTGGCGTTCTCTACTCTGATTTACATGAAGAACAACAGGAGGTCACGGCTCTCTGTTGAACAGGACTTGCGAGTGGCCCTCTCCTCAGTGCCACCAAGGATTAAAAAATTCTGCGCGCCCCGACAGGCACATGTATCTCACTAATTTGTAAGTCGGCAAACATATTTACAATAGCACATGTTTCAATGCTGATTGCTGAAATGTTACATTTATAATTTGTAGTTCAGGACCATGCAGTGCAGCTTCCTTGCATTGACAGTTCTCTGTGCTGAATTTCTGCTGAGTTTCCTTTGCCTCATTTTTAATTGTGTGACCTGTCTGGTTTAAATGAGTGTGTTGCTGCTTTGATGAAGCCTAATTTGATAAAGTTTCAGATTAATTTCTGAAATATTTCTTTAATAAATATTTCATGAGTAATATAGTTGTCTTTGTCACATTTTATTTTGCATTAGTAAATAATTATGCACATTTACAGATATTTTACATGATATGAGTGATAACACGTGTTATAAGGGCTATTTTTGCACAATAGGTGTGCCTTGAGATTTGTACTTGTCCTTTGGTGTGCCTTGGGCACAAAAAGTTTGGGAACCACTGCCTGTCACATTGTATTTCAATTCATCTTCATTCATCTTCTCCCCTTTGTAACAGTGTGGAAAACCATGCAGTCCCAGGTAAGCCAGTTTATGATTTTTTTCCCTCAGAAAAACAGCCAACGGCTCACAATCTCTCTAACTTTGTATAATGTCAGTTAAGAAATTAACTAAAGGTAGTAACATAAAGGTATGATTTGCATTATTGGGTGGTTTGTGTAATTTGTTTGTCCAAGCTACCACATTTAGTATTATTCAAACATAATTGGTGTCTTTGCTTATACAACATTCAGAAATATATTAAAGTAAATAATAATAAACTACAAACATTTTTGGTTGTTATTGATCTGATAATACATAATGCTTTATAAGGTTATTAGATAAAGTGTCTTATTCAAAAGCTGTGGATGTAATCTCTCTTTAAAGGTTAACACCTACGATGCAATTTTAGCCGTGCTAAACTGGTTCATCTTCACTCTCCAGCTAGGTACTACCCCTGCTGCTGTGTCTGCCGAAGCAGCTGTGCAGAATATTCTCTCCATAATTAATGAATCTCTGGCCACGTCCACCAGCTCAGAACAAGGTCAGGGACAGAGTTTGGGGCGACGCCCAGGGATACAGCAAGAGATGGCCAGGTCTAACACTTGAAATCATGACGAACAAACACTACATATTTATCACAAATGACTCCAGAGTACAATATTGTAGTAGTTCTCCAAAGAAATCCCATATTCTGTTTTTTTAATAAAACTTCTCATTACTGGTTTATACTGTAAAGTTTTGTTTATTTACTAAAAGTATTTTATTGCAGGTCTTTCCCTGGATTTTGTAGGCGTGGGAACAGAGGCAAAGCTGGCTTTAATAGGCCAGCAAAGGTTGCAAAACAGTGGACCACCTTTAGTTTCACGATCTTCCTTGTGCATAAACATGTGGAAAGAACACCCACTCCTGTTGAGGACCTCCAACATATGCAGGCTGGACTGGGAAAGAGAATGCTGTCCATGCCTTCAGACATGAACCATGCAGAGGTGATCTATCTTTCTCTCTCTAACACTGCCTCCAATCAATCAACTTTTTTCTATCAAATACAATTAAAGAAACTGGAAAATTCACAATATAAACTTGTTTTTTTAGGTCTGCAGCTTGTTTGAAAGGGCTTACCCAAAGCTCATCCCTATAACAGGAGGATGGCTTCTTTACAAGGCTTCCGGTATATATGAAAAAAAACTCAGACACATTGCGGAATTATAGTTTGAACCAGCGTTAACATTTAAAAAATAAAAACTATTTATTTCAACAGGTGGAAATGGAAGACGCAACCTATCAGTTGTACTCCCAGATTCAGAAGGGTACACTGGTAGTACCATCAGATGTGCCTCTGGAAGGGGGAAAACAATGATTTACATTCTCCCTCTCCAGGAAGAATTTGATCTGACACCTCTTCCCCACGATGCTGAAGAGTTTATGCAAATGAAAAAGGCAGAATGCAAAACGTGCCACAAGGTCATGCCCTTGCAGCTCTTGGCACTCCATGTGCAAGATTGTGAGGCTCTGTCGAGTTCGGATCCAGAGGTAAAAATAAGTTTGCTTGTTCGTAACTGCATTCTGGAAACATGGATGACGAGCAACTAATTTAAAATGTATCTTCCCTGTCTATGTTTAGATAACTGAGGTACTCTCTTACAAGGAGAAAGTAAGTTGTTTCCACATCTGGGGTAAAAATAAAAACAAACTCCAGACTGTATTTAATCTTTATTGGATTTGTATGTCTTTTTTTATTTTAGCCAAGAGAGGAAAAGTGCTCAATTTGCATGCAGTTATTTCCAGCCATGGAACTGGAACTTCATGCGAGTTTCTGTGGGGATTGGAAGAGTATCTGTTACAAAAAGGTTAGATGAAAAAACTAGGAATTAAATAAGATGGCTAGAGTCACCAAAAATGTATCCTTATAGGTGCTTTTATTGACAGCCAACATACTGAAAAAACACAAAGTAACAAGGATTTTGCAGGAAGAAAACAAAAACTTCATATATACATACAGGTCGAGGACATATAACTGGTACCTCTCTGCTCTACAGCCACAGTCAGCCCCTCCAAAACACTTGTGGCCAGGGTTTTATACATGGTAAGCCCCTCCCCATAGGTCAATTCACTATTTATACCCCTAACCAATGTCATTCTAATCTACAAACACATTCACAATGCAAGACAAATTACCCAAACACAACAAATCAAAATAGGTCAACATATTATATCTTTCTGACCACAGAAGCCCCAAACAATACCATTTTTACACTCGCAAGAAAAGTGCCACCCGTGCCCATGCACTACATGGTATGCTCCAATTGAGCACAGGTGTTCCCACTGATTGAGCCTCTACTTAAGGCTGCTTCTTTCCGTTGCTCTGTTTGGCCTTCACAACCTTGAAGGAGAGGGTAAGCAGGTTACTTGTAAAAATACTTCCAATAAATCTGTTTTGAACAAACAATGACTTGGGTTTTATTTTATCAATGTCCAGGTAAGTTATTAATGTGTTTCCCTCAGTGTGCCTTTTACCATGCCCCTATGTCAACTGTGATGAAGGCTTCTTCACAGTATCTCAGAAAGCTATCATCAGTTTTTGGCCATTTAGGTGTCAATGAGCGAGGACAAATCCAGGAAGAATAAGCAGCTGTGTACAACGCATCATGCATCACACATACAAATAAATACAATTACTCCAGCCTTGTTAACTTTTTTAACTAATCATTTTTTGCTGCTGTTATCTCAGTAACTCAAAGTAGTAAGGTTGTCCTGCATATCCTCATTCAAATGTAATTTATGTCGATTTGAATGATATATATATTGCACTGTCTTGGCTACTTTTCTGTTTTGTGTTAATGGTCATGTTTTTATTTCCCTTCAGTCCTGTGCCCTGTCTGGATGGCAGCCCTGTCCAGTCAAATGAGCCGGATAAGGAGAACATGTCCTGGTACATTTAATTTGTATTTCTACTTTTGACCTGGAAAAAAAAGTGTGTGTTATTTTGACCCCAAATCCTTATGTCTACTTTTCACTTAAAGTGATGGTCTCTGTTATGTATTAACAGTGAGGAGGATGTCCTAAAATGGCTGGCAGCGCAGGTTGACACAAGCAAATAATTCGGCATCTGCGTTTCCAGAACGAACATCGTGGAACGTGGAATGATGCTGTGGCAGCGTCAAAAGCACAGCTCCCCACTCAACCCCTTGAAGGTGACATTCTTGGGAGAGGCTGGGGTTGACACTGGTGCTTTGCGGAAAGAATTCCTGACAGGTCAGTAACATTACATTTTTACATAACCTGCAGACAGTATTGAATGTAATTCATAAGTTTTCTTTAGTGTATTCCTTTTGAAGTGGCTTTGCAGATGGTGCAGCAATTTTGCCTAAAAAGGTTGTATTACTTCATCAGAGATGATTGCTGGCATAGAGATTCGGCTATTTGAGGGAGAGGATGGCAGGGGGAAAATGCCAAAATACTCTCTAAATGACCTAAAAGTTGCTGGGGAAATATTTGCTGTAAGCCTCGCGCAGGGTGGCCCAGCACCCAAATTTCTCCAAGAATGGTGCTACAACTTCCTCTTGACTGGAAACCTTGAAAACATTACCAGAGATGATGTTCATGACCAGGAGTTTTCCTCATTGATTAAGATGGTATGTTTGTTGAACAACCTAGTATTATATCCAGGGCTGCACATAACTGGTGCGCAGGTGCGCATGCGCACCTGCGCACCACGCCAAAAAAAGAGCACCGGATCATTTGAAAAAAGGCGCATTTGCGTACCAACATTGAGAGAGAGAGAAGAGAGGAGAGAGAGAGAAAGATATTTGCGAATTGCATATGAACTCAGGGTCGGCACGTAGCACTGGCGTTATAGATGTTCGCCTAGGGCGCCAGATCCGGGGAGGCGCTGCGCTGGCAGTTCTGGGAGGGAAAAAAACATTTTTGACCGTTAGTGCTAATCCTAATTTTCAGGCTTGATGTAACGACATTCATAATTAAGTAAATGTAACACCCTTTTCACCCAGGTTACACGTTTCATTTGCCCTGTACGATGGGCACTGTAAGTGATGAAAATGGGGGATGTTGGCTTATCTGGCGCGCACAGCTCACAGCCAAAATGCGAGTGAGCGAGGGAGAGAGAGAGAGAAGGGCGCACCGCCCGGTACCGGCGCTGTTGTTATTAGAATCTGGTGCTAGCTGCTCTAACGGATGTAAGAAGAAGATGTTTCTACAATTATGTGGAGGGAGAGCTCTCTCCAGTCAGACTGAGAGGCTGATAACTACAGCTCAGTGAGGTAAAGGACTCAGTGTTTAGATAGTTAACTTTAGTCTAAGTTCAAACTGTTTGGTCACAATTTATGCAAACACATATTTCCAAGGCACTCCTTTATAATTATTGGGATAAACAGGTTTGAAATCATTCCAATGTATACTATAGGACAGTAACCAAAAATATCCTATAACTGGAGAGATTAAAAAAATGCTTAAATAAATAAATGTTAAGGTAAAATAAGATATGAATGAACAACACAAATAAAATAAGTTACATTCATTTGTTATTGGCTATGGTAGGTTATTGGTTATGTTCACATACTTATTTGATTACATCCACTTGTCTAAGATTATCACAACAGAGACTTTCGACCCAAAACCAGCTGTGGATGCAAGCATCTAATCGCAGACTCAACCAGAGAGAAATAAGTAGGCCTACATCATCAGCTACCATGTCTAACAGAGAGGAAGACAGAGAGGAGAACAGTCAGGAGGGTAGTGATGACAGCTTGTAGGATTACTGGTCGTGCTAATGTTGTCTTGTGTTCACCTCTGCATTTGTGTTCTGTGTTCACCTCTGTGTGTTCAGTGCCGTGTGTCTGGCAAATAAAGTCAAGACCCCCTCAAAAGTTACGGTTTATTTCATTTTAAGGATGAGCACCAAGCAACATCTCCAGGTGCTCCTTTGAGAACCAGGGCAAACAAGTTATGTGCACCCCTGATTATATCCTCAAAGCAATGGTCACGGATATTAAGGATTTACTCAATTTAGCACTGCAGAAGATGGCTATAAAAATGTTTACTGTGCAATTTTTAATAAATTATAGAGAAATAATCCTGTTGACTTTGAACTCATGACCATTATATCCAGATGATAATATTTCATTTGTGTTATGTTTTTTGCAAAGATCTGTAACATTAATGAGAAGTTCCATAGTGAAACAATAATTACATAAAATCAACCAAAAATGACTAAAACTGAAAAAAAAACTGTTGTAAATTAAATGGGGAAAGGTCCAAAGTTTATGTTAATCATTTACAGGACATACCATTTTGATATTTAAGATGTCATTTCAATGTGGTGGAACTTTTGTCTTCAATTTTCCAGGTTGACGAAACTTCAGATTTATCATCTTGCACAGAACAAATTCTCAAAATCTGAGAGGTCGATAAGTTGCTGCTCCTCCAGTTCATGTAGTACACTACAGCATAAAAGTTACAGGTGACAGCTGACCACACGTCGCGCCACAGCCTTTCTATTCTGAGTAAAAGAAATTGGGCAAAAAAATAACATAAGTATCATAATTATTACCACAAGTCATCAACAAACTGCATAATCATGCCTACAACAGTTTCAAGAAAATGCATGTCAGGTTCTGCATTAATGTTTTTTCTTTACCTTTGATTGTGGACACTTTTGCCAGCAATGAAGCTTCCACGTCCTTTTCCTCGTACAGCAAACATGCATCGAGCAATGTCCACGTTTTCCACCCAATGGGGCCTCATTTATAAAGGGATATACGCTCAAAAAATGGCGTACGCCAGTTTCTACGCAATGTTTGCGATTTATAAAATACTAACTTGACGGGAAAATGTGCGGTCCTCCACGCAAACTCTAACCCATGTGTACGCACTAAGCACAAAAACGGGAGAGACGAGAAACTGCGACACCGCGTTGGCAGAAGGAAGAATGGAGAGAAATATGTGGAAATAATACCATAAATAAAATGTTACCTCTCATTTATCATATATGAATAATTCATTTTCAAACATTGATTAAAGCCAATCTTAATATGATTAAACAAACGCCTGTTTGAGACTCCTCACAAAAACATAACTTGGAGAAATAAATAAATACGGATATGTTATTTAAAACCACCTCGAATATGTTGTGTTAATGTTATGAAATGTTTTCTCATAAATGATGCGGTAAGCAGGAGGACAGAATTAAGTCTAAACTGACGCCGTTTTGCATTTCTATAGGTTGTAGATACGAGCATGGTTTTATATACCATCATGTTTAATCGTGTTTTATGCCGTTTGCCAAGACTTGATAAGTCGCTCGTAAAACACAGGAGGTATGGAAGCTAAGAACACCATATGTGGTAAATTGTACAGCTAATATAACACAACACATTGGTTGTATTTCCTTTAACTGGTGGATATAGAGTTGCTGCGGGGGGTTGAGATGCACAGGCTGCGGTGGAGATGCACAGGCTGCGGTGGAGACGCTGCGCACAGCTGATCGACAGCTGGAACACAAACCACCAAATACAAAAACATAATTCAGATCCAGTCGTCATGATTCCACTCCGGAGGGATTCCCCGATCATTTCTTACAGTTTCTCATCAACGGGGTGTCTCCTGTCCCCGGTACAAACACACTGCCTGAGGAAGGCTATGTGTATTTTTTTTGTCATGAACCTTTTTCGGACCACTTATTTATTTATTTTGGTGACGATCCGACCTCCATGCTGCTACTCTGGTTCAAACGGCATCCACCAAACAATATGATTTATCTCGACCTCCCCAAAATAACCAAAATCTGACACGGTGTGAGATGTCTTTTTTAGCTGTTGTCGTCATTTCCTGCTATCTTCTTCATAAAGTCAGTCAAAATGAATGAATGAATGGGTGTTTCTTTGACTATTTATAGGCAAATATGGGCGTTACGTGAAGCCCGCAAAAGCTGCACCGCATTTCGAGTCGGTTGTGATTTATAAAGGGAAACCGGCGTAGGAAGTGCTGTACGCACTTTCCTCGCCGGTACGCAATGTTTGGTGAATCGGAAAATGTCGGAACATTACTGTACCTATTTTTTGGATTTCTACTACGTAAGCAACCTTCCCACGTGAATCCTACGCACTGCGTTATAAATGAGGCCCCTGGTCACCACGTACCCTAAATAATTTAAGCAGTCATTCATTTTGCCTGGGTGGGGCCAGGGGGAATAGTCACTAGAAGTCCACTAGAGGTTGTAGCCCATGCGAGACCACAATAATAATAATGGCCTTTTAGCAATACTTTGATGTAGTTCCTACCTTGAGGGCCATCCATGTTTGCGGACACCATTCAAAAAGAAGGAAAATGCAGTTGATGCTTTGTTGTTAGCAGCATCAAGATATTGAATCTGTGCAAAAGGATTTGGGAACTAAATCACTGTGACACAGTCAGTCTTTAGTTTGTTTTGTCTAGAAGGCACTTTGACATACCTTTCTTGAGAAACCATCGATCCCACCGAATATCACAATATTAAATCTGAGGAGAAGAAAGTACATACAACCTTTTTCAGACATCTGATTGTCAAAAGAAAATATTTGGTGTGTTGACACAGGTCATGAGAATTAATTAGATGGGGTAGGTAATTTTGGAGAAACCGGCTCGAGTGCGCTAGAATTTGAAAATACACAGCCGGAAAAAACCTGCCACTTCCTTACAGAGCCCCTCCTCCAACACACGAACGCACACATGACCAATGAGGGCACGAGATAAGTTTGTGAACAGATGGAAGGCTGACAGGCAGGTAGGCCATCCAGTTATTTTAGCCGGGCCGGCGCAGATGATTGGTCGTGCTTTTTACAGCGCCACGGCTTCCACAGATGACATTTTATGTATTTTTTGTCAAAGCACTTAAGATATTCATTGCTATCGGGATGTTAAGAGCATTCCATGGAATATAACAAAAAGTGTATCTCGAGCCGGTTTCTCAAACTTACCTACCTCACCTTTAAGTGAAGTATGTGCTATGGCCTTTAGTAACCAGATCTTAACACAGTTGAACCAGGAGGTTCACCGCAATCCTGATCTGCTGTGTCCTGTTTTCCTCCCCTCTGCATAACACCCCATCACCCATAAGAAACACAATGCAGAGTCCCAGGGTGTTCAGAGAGGCTACGGGACATTTGGGTTACATCTTGAATCATGAATGTGTGTTTTAATTATGTCAAAAATATGTTCTGTGTTTGTATGTTAAAGAGAGAGAGCACAAGATAGAAACA